CACGGTCGTTTCACTTTATCGTTACGACGATACAGGGGGAGCCGCGCACTTCGTGCGCGGCGGGTCATACAACGTATGATAAGTCCCACCATCATATCACTAACTTTTCAAGAACAAAATGAATCGATGAAGCCACAATTATTGGAATAAGCTAAAAATAATGCGACGGATTCTATTACGACGACCGAAATTTTGGCGGTCCGAAAATATGGCGAAATTTCGGGAAAACCGTCGCATTTCGTACGTTATAAAAATTTCTTGTAAGGTTACAAGACTTTTTTGTGGCGGACCAATTTGCGACGACCGAAATTTTGGCGGTCCGAAAATATGGCGAAATTGAACAAAAACCGTCACATTTCGGACGTCACAGAAAATAAGGGTATTTTTCATCATTTTGTTTTTTGACACAAAGGAAATTCAAAATTTTCTAAAAATCGGTAAAATCATGTTGAAACAAAATGAAACTTATAAATCGATTTCTTCATCTTCCTCTATACTTAAGGGGTCCGGCTCGACTCTTTCAGTTTCACGCTGTTCTCCAGTGTACTCCCAGGAGTAAGATTCTCGGATAAGCGTATTACTTGACATTAAATTCATCATGGAATATTGTGTTTATTTGTCCCACCATCATATCACTAACTTTTCAAGAACAAAATGAATCGATGAAGCCACAATTATTGGAATGAGCTAAAAATAAATATTACGACGACCGAAATTTTGGCGGTCCGAAAATATGGCGAAATTTCGGGAAAACCGTCGCATTTCGTACGTTATGAAAAAGTCTTGTAAGGTAGGCTAGTTTTAAAATTGAAAATCGAAAAGTTGCACACGTGAGGACACGCCCAAATTGATAGAACAATATGTTTACATATTGTGTTAAATTTTTGCATGTGTTGGTGCTTTATAAAGCACCAACACATGCACAAATTTAAGGTGATTCAATATTTTATGCGCACGCAACGTCCTCTCAAAGTTTGCACGTGCAAAAGGGGAGAATTTTGCTCATTCTTGATATCGAATAATTCTGGTTTCCCACGACAGTTAGATGGCATTATATATGAATTTAATGCCAACTTCAATGAGTAAAAAGTGGTATATTTAGTCAGTGATCGACAGATACATTTCGACTTTGTAAATATTTATCCTAAATTATTGTAATAGAGTTTCAATTAATTATATCTATGACATGCTGAAAATCTTTTTGGGTTGCTTTCGGGTCGATACCTAGTATTTCGGGACAAGGGTGGTAATTAGTGTCCAATTAGCTGTTGATTCTTGAATCTTTATTTCCGAGTACAGCTGCCTTCGGGTAGTTCTTCTTAATTAATTTATATTACAATTGTAAATGAATGGAAAAAGGGAGCGACCGATTTCATTCTCGGTATCAATTTGCATTTGCGGACGGTTATTCAAATTAATATGATTTTCTTTTGTCTCATTTGTCCGCTACTTTCGTATCAGGTCATACTGACATATAAGGTCAGGTATTGATCATTATTCAACTATTTACATACATACCCGAGGCGATTACCGCTCCAGCATATTATATAACACCCCGGTTTCCGAGTTTCCTAATACGAGCGTGCTAAATCACTTTACCTACAGTCTACACTAGATCTTCGAGATTTTTTATAAAGGGCCCCTGACATTTGAACTTACTCAAATCGTTGTATTTTCGGACGCTGATTCGGAATCACTCTACATATTGACAAAGGATTAAAATGCTCCCCTAGCAAGATATCATTATTGGCGAAAAACTGTCTCGATCACGTGATATGACCGTACGAGGAAGTCGGTCTAATTTCTCGTTAGGGTCAGGCTAGGGTTCAGCATATACTATTGTTAGTGATCTTGGGTTAGGGTTATGGTTGGGATCAGATTAGAGGGTTAGGGTTTCGATAAGAGGACATAAGAGCACATACATCCTAAAACCGAGACTCCGGTGTTTTGTAGCGCTTTTCCTTGTTCTGTTCAGTTTAAAACTTTGAGTCTGCACGACTTGTGCAGACTTGTGCCCAGCAATATAATAAAGAAAAACGGTATGTTTAGATAGTTAGATAAATTCCCGGATCAGAATTGAGGAACAGAATTGAGGTACTCCTCTTCTTATCACACTAAACCAGGTACGTATGTACTATGTCTAGGTTAAAACTTGCTACTTAGGCTAGGATTATGATCAGTCGACACTCTAAAATAGAATTATTATCACTGAGAAGTAAGAACAGATCCAATTAATCACTTGCAATTCCCCTTGATGGTTGCATTGCGTGGACTTGCAACTGAATTATGCAGCGCGGCAAGTGAATTATGTTGCAGCTATCGTATCAGATAAAACTAAAAGCAGCATACAGTAATGCTTAATGTATGCTAACAGTCCCTAGAAATGAGGAGCTTCATTATAGTCGTCAGTCGAGCTATTAAATAACTGTAAGGCTATTTTGGAAATCAACAGGATCAGTTGAAACATGCCCATTTTTGCAGGTCTGTATACGTTTCATCATATTTGATTTGTACTTCTAGCTGAGCCAAAGCTATGCGAGACAGATGGAAAACAGATTAGTATACATTTTAAGATTTTAGAGGGGATCTGCCAACTTAACCAAATCGAAATGTTCTCAAATTGTATTTTCTCAACTGCTCAATTCAATTAAAATATCTTTCTTCAACACTTTTTGTTTGCTTTTCAACTATAATAGTATAATTGCTTTACCAAATTTCGTGTCCTTTTTCCGCCTAGTTTCTACAATCATCGCTATTCGTCTCTATCGCAGTGACTTAATATATAGTTTTCAGTCATCTTGTTTTATTTGCTTCACCATGATTACCTCTAATTTGTCCGCTACTTTCGTATCAGGTCATACTTTGTTTCTGTCTGGTTCTAATAAACCGTTACGGCGTTACAATAATGACTTTAATATAAGCCGCGGTAATCACCGAGGCGATTACGGCTCCAGCATATTAACCCACGAATTCCGGATTTCCGCTAGACAGTATAAATATGATTTCATGTCGCTAGATTGTTGTAATGTAAGGTAAGAAAGGTGTTTTGTCTGTCCATATTATCAGGTGCTGAAGTTGAACATTATAATGCTTCAGTGAATTCGTCATCGACAAGGCTGTATCCTTGGAAAGTTCACAAACTGTGCAGATTTTCAGTTGCAGTTTATTAATATTTACCCTTTGCACGTTGGTCGTTATCTTTTTTCGTCTTGTCGGCTCTTCGTTAGATAGGAAATAAATGATCAATTTAAAAACCAAGACCGCTGCATTTGTAATGCTTTTCATTGTTCTGTTCAATTTAAAACTTTGAGTCAGCACGATTTGTGTCTAGCAATATAATAATGAAAAACGGTATTTTAGATAAATTCCCGGATTAGAATTGAGGGACTAGGTATACCGTTGTTCCTAATCTAATAATGACACTGATAATCATAAGAAATGCCTCAGTAATAATTGAATTGAAGTGATTGTTTCATTAACACTTTGCATTGGTACACAGTTACACAGTTACAATACTGTTGTAAGAAAAAGAAGAGTACAGGTACTCCTCTTCTTCTCACACTAAACCAGGTATGTACTATGTAGGTTAAGGGGGCATACACCAAAACTGTCCAACCCTAATGACCTCATAGGAAGTTCAGTAACCATCTAGCGCACCGTTTCCACACCAACATTTTTTTTGAGGTTCTCATTTTTGTAATCGAGCATTTCCTGGTCAAAGTGCATTTTTCAGAAGGAACAATTTGTTTCATGGAGAGACTATGAGTTCATCATTTCTTGTGGTATCGAGCTGAAACTTTGCACGAAGTTTATTCATATCTAGTTCAAGATGTGTGTAAAATCTTGTTGTTTGGCTTTAAGGTGCAAAAGATCAACTTTCCAGTTGAATAAACACATTTTTGAGGGCATCAAACACTGCGCCAGAATTCAGAGAACAATTTCATGTCAAGCATCAAAACAATCCGATGTTCCTTGACGGACTTTTTGGCCAAAACAAGCCTGAAAAGTAAAATTACCACTTCTTTGTTGATTTTACAAATATTTTAAAACGCAGAGGTTTCAGATACGATATCAAGATTTTACACACATCTTGAACTAGATATGAATAAACTTCGTGAAAAGTTTCAGCTCGATACCACAAGAAATGATGAACTTATAGCCTCTCCATGAAACAAATTGTACTTTTCCGAAAAATGCACTTTGACTAGGAAATGCTCGATTACAAAAATGGGAATCCTCAAAAACATTTTTTGGTGTGGAAACAGTGCGCTAGATGTTCATTGAACTTCCTATGAGGTCATTTGGGCTGGACAGTTTTAGTGTATGCCCCCCTTAAAACTTGCTCATTATCAATTATAGGCTAGGATAACGATCAGTCTCTAAAATAGAATTATTATCATTAAGAATAAATTCAATTAACTACTTGTACCTCCCCTTGATGGTTGCATATTACGTGCAGGACTTGCAACTGAATTATGCAGCGTGGCAATTGCATTAATATTATGTTCCGGAGATCATCAGGTATTGTTTATTTTTATCTATTATCAATAGTTTCCTCCATTCCTCGCCGTCAAATCAAATTTATCGGTGATTACTGCAAAGTAAGTTGCAGTGCAAATTTTGTATAAATACCGGCGTGACTCGTAAGACGGGCGGTATCGCCCAAACGTCGTTACCAATCATAAATAAATCATCTATATTTAGGAATGAATATCATAGAAATTGGTTGGAACAACGCTTGTAGTTCTGCAATTCTGATCCTGGAATTTATCTAACATACCGTTCTTCTGCAAATGCAAGAATTCTGTTCATTTTATCTTTCCAAGACGTGATTATCAGTATCATTTGTATATTATGAACAACACTCTAGTCCCTTAATTCTGACCCGCGGGAAACAGCTCTATTGTTCATTTTAGTCTTACTCTGACGTTATTTATGATTATCAGTATTATTATTATTGACAATGGTTTTGAAACCAGCATTTTACTACTCTTTCCTCCATTTTAGAGGATCATGGGGTTCTTGAACCAGTATAATGAGCAAATCGGACTAATTTACGACGTCTCGAAATTGAAGAGGTAAACAATTTTATTCTATTAATATTTTATTGATATATTTTTAATATTTTTTAAAAATATCATGTTAATAAAATTGCCGCGTGACTGTTTAAAAAATGAGTAATAAGTACGTGATAACGTGAGTTATGAGGGAAAGGTTTGTCAAAATACTGCAAATAATTTCTATTTGCAGTATCTGCAGATTCTAAAAGAGAATGTTGTTTCTTTCTTAAGACTAGAAGGGGTTCGCTCCGTTGAAGGATATCACTTTGTTAATTGTTTACATAATAATACGCCATTTTAAATCTGTAATTATTGTTAAAATAATTACGATTTTATGTTTGACTGCTTTGCCTCTTTATAAATCGATTTTTAAAACTAAAACGTATCGTCCGGACTCGACTCCTTGACTTATCTTGTACATTAACCGTATCATTTACCCAAAATACTTTATACTTATAGTAGGAATCAAAGCCAAGGTAAAAATGTTTGTGCCAGCAAATTACCAAGCGTCCAGTACAGAAAACCTCGTACCATGCATGATTCTATTTTTAGGACTGTTTGATATGGACACGTTCATTTGAGTTTGAGGATATTGGTAAATATTAATGGCCCTATCAAAAGGCACGGTGTAGTCGACTTTGTCACATACTCTTGATGATATATTACTGGGCCGCGTTCAGCCTGTCATTCCGCCGAATCTCTATATGTTAATGAACATGATAGCCTGAGGTCCCCAGGTAATTTATAGTAGGAATCAAAGCCAAGGTAAAAATGTTTGTGCCAGCAAATTACCAAGCGTCCAGTACAGAAAGCCTCGTACCATGCATGATTCTATTTTTAGGACTGTTTGATATGGACACGTTCATTTGAGTTTGAGGATATTGGTAAACATTAGTGGCCCTATCAAAAGGCACGGTGTATTCGACTTTGTCGCATACTCTTGATGATATCTGAACATGTGTGAAATTGAGCAAATATTGATATACCAGCTTGAACACCCTATATTAGTATTACGTACCGGATCAATCAACACCATTACAACTATACGCACCAGTCACATAAATTATTATGTGGTAGTATGAAATGAAATGAAATGAAATGAAATGAAATAATGTGCTTGTATACCGCCCATATGGTTAGCAACTGACACAAGTGCCAGGTACTAACCATGTCAGAGCGGTTCTAAAGGGTGAGGTGAAAATATCCAGCAACAAACAACTAAATCATCTCAAAAACAAATCTATTTAGGAAAAATTAAAACTTTAAATAAATCATATAGTAATTATAGGAAGATTTATTGATATTTACCACACTACGATTAACAATAAACCACTAAAAAACTCTTCAAAAGTAACATAATATACTTATAGGAATCAAAAGAAGGATTATTAATAATGGTAATTTGACCAAAACCCATAATCGTGGGTAGATTGGAGCGCTGCCAGTGTCTCTCTTTCCCAAACAAAAGGAAATGATATTAATTTGAATAGCCGCAAATGCAAAATGATACCGAGAATAAAATCGGTCGCTCGCTTTTCCCATTCATTTACGGCTTACGAATTTTAATAAGTTTCCATTAATTGCATCAATCACATGCTGTCAAAATCTCTTTGGGTTGCTTTCGTGTCGATACCTAGTATTTCGGGATAAGAGTGGTAGATAGTGTCCAATTAGCTGATGTTTATTGAATCTTTATTGCAGCTGCCTTCGGGTAGTTCTTCTTAATCTATTACAATTGTATATGATTTGTTGTACTTGTAAAAGTTTGATAATTTTTCGTTCACATCGACAGTTCTTCTTATGGTTGAAATTGATTAATACAAGAAATATAGCAGCCCATACTAGGGTTTGCAACCGACATTATCGGCGATAATTTGTGAACAAGTTATTATCGGTTATCGGCGATAATTTCTAACCGATAATATCAACATTTTTTTTCTTCAAATAAATATCATTATCATGGCATCACGAATCACGATCATGAACATTGAACATGATGATCGTGACCTCAAGACTTTTAATCGCTAGAATTGCAGATCGCCTGTTGCCTGACTGTGGCCTAGCACTTCTGCAATATTGATAATTGATATCATATTTTGTGATGGGAAAAAGATGAATTACTCGGAGACTTGAAGGCTTTCGAGGGCCAAAGTAAAACCTATAATTCGATTGAAAATTGCAGATCGCCTGTTGCCTGACTGTGGCCTAGCACTTCTGCAATATTGATAATTGATATCATATTTTGTGATGGGAAAAAGATGAATTACTCGGACTCTCGGAGACTTGAAGGCTTTCGAGGGCCAAATTAAAACCTATAATTCGATTGAAAATAAAGCGACACAGAGAATAACTGGGTCCGTCCCGATCGGGAAAAGGACTGGGAAGACTGTGCGGAAAACTGTTTACATAGACAGCATATTTATTATTTAGCATAACATTCCTTAAAGTTATTCCATGGTAAATTTTCTAAAATTCACTATAAGTTGCCAGTGGTGAAACATACCTACATAGTGGCTAAACCGAATATACAATTCCCAATGTCACGTTACACGTATGTTCGAAAGAAAACACATATTAATTCATAATTCAGTTTTTGGAGTTCGATCAAAAAATTGGGTCATAACAATGCTAGCTCATTGTTATGACCCAATTTTATCGCCGATAATTATCGTTATCGCCGATAATTTCAAAATCGTTATCGGTTATCGGCGATAAAAATTATTGGACCGATAATGCAAACCCTATAACCAATGTTGTACTTGTATCATAATTGTTAGATTGACCTAATCTACTATATTTTATACCAAGGAATGATAATTGGGCAGCTATAGTTAACTAAGTCACACAAAATGTGACATTTTGAACATTATAGTGCCTAACAACCATACAGTTTCTTTCTGAGCAGTGCATATGGGAGTATGGGTCACGTCGCTAATGTGACCCATACATTATATGTTAAAATGGGTGTGGTCCAAACTGGGCGTGGTTCCCGAACTCTTACGGTTTCGAGACCATGATTAAATGAAATCTCGTCAGCAGGTTTATATTCGAGTATCGACGTTTTAAAGACGTATTGGAACTCTTTAAGGGTGAAAACTCCAATATTCGGTTTTTTATGTGTATAAGAAACCGTCAAAAAATGGGCGTGGCCGGAGGGGTCAGTTCCCGGTCGAGTTGGAACCTAACATTTTTTTGGTGCTTAGTTGGCCTATAGAGCAACTAATTAACATTGATTCCTGATTATTCGGAATAAAAAATGTTTTGTGAACCACACTATTCAACAAAAATAAAATCTAATTTTTGGTTTAATCGGCTTACCTTACGAGATATATTTAAAAGGTACGAAAATCGGTGGTTTTTCGAAAAAAAAAACACCATATTTGCGGACAAAAAAATGTAGGCCATCGCCATTATTTCCCTTAATTATTTTTCGCATATTTTCCTTAGCTATAACTTTATCGATTTACTATCAACTTGGGACTTATCAATATAGTAACTGTAAGTTATTAATATGATTCATCAAACAATTAATGAACACTAGTATTCGATTATGAATTGCTTTAAAAATGATTTTGGAAACGTTCCATTAAAAAAAAGCAAGCTCTGTCACTACTTTATTGGCCAAGGCGGTGAAATTTCGGGAGTAGTGGCAGATAACAAGCACTGTCGTGTGTCGGTCTCCTATACCCTCTGGAGGATTATAAGTTAAGTTAACGCTAACTTTCAAAGGCTCCGGAGAAATTGTTTACAAGATGAAAGAGCTGATCAGAGAAGATCTTCGTATTTCATTTTTTTAAATAACGGGTTTCATTTTTGTAAAAAATCCCCAAATATGTACCATGATTTAATTTGGGGTATGGAATGAGGCGGTTTTTGAAAAAAAAACTCCCATATTTTCGTTCCCAAATCATTTAGGTTAGCGGAATTATGTCGAACATAAATATGTCTCGTAAGGTATGTTGCATCGAGTATATTAAAATACCGTGCAATATTGTCCTCAAAGTTAAACGAATTGATAAAGTTATCCTGCAACTTGGATAGACTAAGTTTAAAGGAAGATGTTTATTTATTTATATAATTGTGGACCGTGGTCTTATGCTACTGTCAGACAGGCTATGATCGGTGCTGCGTAATATGTTAAACTTAATTTTAAAATACTGCAGATTTCTCCTTACCGTTTGTCTTATATGTCAGAGGTGCTCTTTCAAATATATTACCGATGTTTATTGATGCTACGCCGGGTACGCCAATATAAACCTTGTGCAATGGGCATCAAAGTTAAGCGGCTTTGTAATCACATTAAAGTAATCAAATTAGGGTAATCAAATTTGGGTAATCTGCTCGAGTTGTTAGTAACAAATGACAACTTGTTATCCGTGTTGATTAATTTGTACTTTAATGACCAGTCTTTAATTATCAGTTTTTAATTATCAGTCATGTCAAGGACAAATGAAATTTTTGATCTTCCCACCTGGCGGCGGATAAGCCGGCTACAAGCGAATATTATCATGTTGTACAGGTTCGTTCACATAAAAGTATTCGTCAGGAAATGGATGATGATTAGTCACTCTACAGTCGACTGTCACGTGACTTTTTAAGCACGTTCTCTTGATGGCCCTGAATGACTAATCGAAATCGTAGCCCTCTGATCTGATCCCAACCGTAACCCTAACCTAATTTTTAACAAAAGCATATGCTGAAACCCTAACCCTAACGATAAATTAGACCAACCTCCTTGTATGGTCATATCACGTGATCGAAAAGTTTTTTCGCCAATATCTCGCTAGGGGAGCATTTTAACCCTATGTCATGGGGGGGGGGGGGGGGGGGGGGGGGGGTGATTCAGAATGAGTGTGCGAAAATACATCAATCTAAGTTGGTCTCAACTATCGGGGGCCCTTTTAGAAAGTCTCTAAGATCGACTGTAGAGTGATTTAGCACGCTCGTCAGAAAATTCAACAAAAATTAAAATCTAATTTTTATCTCAGTACAGTCGGCTTACCTTAACTGCAAAAACTTTAGTCGCGAAAACAATGTCATCGACAATTATTGTCAAAGGAAAACGAATCGTTTCGTCTCATCAAGTTTCGTCGGAATTTTACTATTTTTGGACAGCTAATAAAACTTTTTAGTTTTTATTGAATAAATGGTGAAAATTGTTAAAATAATTAAATAAATATGTACTCAAATAATAGTTATTCAACTTATAATAAAATAAATCGAAAACCAAAATATTCGTCGCGAATATTTTGTACGGCGAAAGTTTTTCGTCACGAAAATGTTCGTCTAACTCTAAGTTTGGATTTCGACGAAAATATTCCACTGAAAATTTTCGCAGTTAAGGTAAGTCAAACCTCATTTTAAAATTCACTTTAAGCTGTTTTTCCGCGTTAAAGGAAGTTTTGATGTGGTAGATCAGGGATTGGTCCCAAATTAAATTTGGGACCTTGCGTTTTCATATTTAGAGCATCCTTCAGCAGGTGGAATTAATTTTACAAAAAGGAGTTGGACGGTTGGAAGATAGCTGTAAAGTACCTTCTGGTTTCTATTTTGAATTTGCGCAAGCTTTGTAGACTTAGAACCAATAATGTAAAATATTATATCACCCATAACCCAACCACCATAATGTTTAGCAACACCTTCGAACAGTAAAACCCGAGTAACAGTATTAGTAACACCGTATGGTAATACCGCTGTCCCAAGTAAAACTCCGCTAACAATCTTGTACGCCTTGATAACATCCTTCTAACATCCTCGTGCCTACCTTACTAACACCTTATTTCAGGAAGTACGAAACATCAATTAAGGCCAGCTCGCAGAGGACGAAGTGCGTTTCTTACGGTTTTTTCCTCATCACCATTACCTCTCTCGTCCTTTACCTTACCAGAGACGCCATGACCGCTCAACTGGTCTCTCAGCAGGCTTGTGAGTCATGCAGTTATTCTTATATGTTTCAATTGCTCCAGGTGCTCCATTTGGCATTTTTCCCTTGAGACAACCATCCCTCCCCTAGAATTACTGCATTCTAGTTAGACATTTCACATGAATTACAGGGTTCGATATAATATTAAAATAATATATAAATTCTGTTTGGATGGTCACCAATGTCCTATAAATCTTATTTTTTCGAAAATAATCTCGAAAATTGGAGCATGTGAAATTAGTGTCACTGGGCTTTGCATTAAATTTCAATAAAATTTTCGATTTCAGCATTTCCGGTGCACAAAAGAAGACATGCACTTGCAGACAAAAGTTTTGCAGAAACGATACGGACGAAGTTCGGTCAGAAGTGCTCTCCTCAAGAAAATATAATTTTTACTAAAACCCACAAAACGGGCAGCAGTACCATCACCAATATTCTTCTCAGGTAACTGTAATAGTTTTATCAGATATAAGCACCAGATTATTCATTACTAGTATAACCCGTGCCTACGGCCTACGGCCGGGACTTCACTATCGCAGTTGAAATGCAAAAGTATAACCCGCCTATTATATTCGAAAACACGCATTCAATTGATTTTTTGGCTTTGCAGATACAAAATTGCATTTTCTCCCATAACTTTAAAAGAAAGAACTTTAGGGTGTTTTTTTAATCATAACTCATATATAAGTACATGGTGAGTTGAAAATAGTGTGTGGAATGTAAATGTGCAAAAGATCAACCTTCCAGTTGAATAAACACATTTTTGAGGGCATCAAACACCATGCGCCAGAATTCAGAGAACAATTTCATCATTTCATGTCAAGCATCAAAACAATCCGATGTTCCTTGACGGACTTTTCGGTCAAAACAAGCTTAAAAAGTAAAATTACCACTTTTTGACTTTACAAATTTAAAAAAATGCAGCCTTTTCAGATCTGATATCAATATTTTACACAAATCTTGAACTACATATGAATAAACTTCGTGTAAAGTTTCAGCTCGATACCACAAGAAATGATGAACTTATAGCCTCTCCATTGCATGAAAAAAATTGTGCTTTTCCGAAAAATGCACTTTGACCAGGAAATGCTCGATTACAAAAATGGGAATCCTCAAAAAAAATTTTTGGTGTGGAAACAGGGCGCTAGATGGTCAATGATATCATTTGAGCTGGACAGTTTTGGTGTTTGCCTCCTTAACATAGATTCTGCTAAAACCTCCAGGAATAATTACAATTTATTTTACAATTTGTCCAGAAATTATGCTGTCTACTCCGGTCGATAGTCAGTATTAAATATAGTTTTAACGGATAATAGTTAGAGAAGTGGAGCCCTGCACTGAGTCCCAGTCTATACTATACGCTGGAACATATTTATATAAGTTGATTACAAGTAAATGATCATTGACACGACCGCACCGAATATTTCTAAGGATATAAATATAGTAATATAACAATCTTGCACAACCTTGCACCCCAAAAAATTTGCACGCCCGATTGAATAATATAATTAACGATCCTACGATAGTAACAGGGGTTCTTGAAAACTTAAAGAGTTAAAGTCTGTGTCCCCGATGACTTGCTTTAGTTTGGACGGTGGTTAACGGTTCAGACTTTAAAGTTCAAAGGTCTTAATATTTACACTAATATACCTTAATATTTACACTAATATACGGCGAGGTACACAACAGAACCCAGCTACTGTACCCCTCCCTAGTAACACCCTAGTAACACCCTAGTAACACCCTAGTAACACCCTAGTAACACCATAGCAACACCCTAGTAACACCCTAGTAACACCATAGCAACACCCTAGTAACACCCTAGTAACACCATAGTAACACCCTAGTAACACTCTAGTAACACCCTAGTAACACCCTAGTAACACCCTAGTAACACCCTAGTAACACCATAGCAACACCCTAGTAACACCCTAGTAACACCATAGTAACACCCTAGTAACCCTCTAGTAACACCCTAGTAAAACTCTAGTAACACCCTAGTAACACCCTAGTAACACCCTAGTAACACCCTAGTAACACCCTAGTAACACCCTAGTAACACCCTAGTAACACCCTAGTAACACCCTAGTAACACCCTAGTAACACCATAGCAACACCCTAGTAACACCCTAGTAACACCATAGTAACACCCTAGTAACACCCTAGTAACACCCTAGTAACACCCTAGTAACACCCTAGTAACACCATAGCAACACCCTAGTAACACCCTAGTAACACCATAGCAACACCCTAGTAACACCCTAGTAACACCATAGTAACACCCTAGTAACACTCTAGTAACACCCTAGTAACACCCTAGTAACACCCTAGTAACACCCTAGTAACACCCTAGTAACACCATAGCAACACCCTAGTAACACCCTAGTAACACCATAGTAACACCCTAGTAACACTCTAGTAACACCCTAGTAAAACTCTAGTAACACCCTAGTAACACCATAGTAACACCCTAGTAACACCCTAGTAACAGTTCAGTATTACACTAATTGCATACGTTGCTCTTTTCTTACTATCTTATCTTAGTGCTTATCTCTGTTGATTGTAACGTGCAGCTACAGTGGTTTGTGTATCACCGTGTTACACGACCATGACCATCCCGCCCAGCGAGTATGGTGAAAAGGAGATCAACATGTTAAGGGGTGACTCAGTTGAACTTCTCAACAAGGCTATGAACGAGATGGAGATCACAGCAATTGGGCAACTATCCCCTTCGCGCGTGAAGAAGATGAACAAGGACACTGCGTGTGACTTGTTGTACGATGCATTAATATATTTGGAGGAGTTCACTGGTGTCGTATCCACGGACTACAAGATGGCCTCAAATTCAGTTAAACATCATATGTTCGAGACACAGGAGACCATCATTAAGTTGCAGTCAGAACTACTAGCCTGCAAAAATGAACAGTTGGAATCGTTGCAGACGTCAGTTAAATCGTCAGTCGGAGAGTCTGTCAAGGCTGAATTCCAATCCTTCAGCTCGGTATTACAGGCGAATTGTCCAGAATCTCAGAAGCCTGTCAGTTCTGAAATGATCAAGAAAGCTGTGAAAACTGTGGTACAGGAGGAAGACCGAAACAAAAATCTGATGATTTTTGGTTTATCGGAGCAGGACAATGAGGAGCTCAGCACCGTGGTCAGTGAAGTGTTCTCAGCAATCGGAGAGAAACCCAGAATCGAAGCTAGTAGAGTCGGAAAGCTCAAACCTGGCAAGGCTGTGAGACCAGTTAAAGTGACTGCGGCAAGTGCAACAATTGTTAATCAGATTCTCGCTAAATCGAGAAACCTGCGAGCAACGGAAAAGTTTAAAACTGTTTTTATCAGCCCAGATCGATCTCCAGAACAGAGAGCCAAGCAAAGAGAACTCGTCAGTGACATGAAAAGACTGGTAACTGAGCAACCTGATAAGCTACACTTTATCAGAAACGGTGCTATAAAGAGTACTGATAAGACTAATAAGACTGCAGAATGAGCTTGAGTGTTTTTAATAATTTATTATTATTAGTGTATTCAAGTTTTTGTTGTGTGGAGGATGTTTTAACTCACTCTTGTGTGCCCAGTCTTGCACTGTCAGTATTTCTCGACACTTCGAGCACACAAAACTGTCAGTTTTCGCGACAATTGTCAGATTTCGTTTTCAGTTCTGTCAATTTCAAGCGCTACTAGCTCTACTACTAGTAGTCTACTTCAGCTCACATTAAAGGGAGTTTTCGTCGTGCGTGTAGCGCCCTTCAAGTTTAACTTGGACGGATAGGATTTATAAAACTTCTGATTATAATATTTATACTATATTGTATTTTGTATTTATGTATTTTAGTAAATGGTCATTAGAACCACCGGCACCGTCCGGGCCCAAACAACACCCTAGTAAAACTCTAGTAACACCATAGTAACACCCTAGTAACACCCTAGTAACACCCTAGTACACCTTAGTAACACCCTAGTAACCCTTTAGTAACACCGTTATTTCAGATACGGTGAAGTACACAACAGAACCCAGCTACTGTACAAGTACCCATCCAGCACAGAGTACAAGAAGCTCGACCCTGATAGACTGCTCACTGGTCGCCCAACGGCAAACATCTTCGCTCAGCACGCCAACTTTGACCATGCTTTTCTCAAAGATCACATATTCAACCCTTCGAAAACTTTCACCATTCTGCGATCCCCTGTTTCACAGTTCTCATCAGCCTTCAGCTTCTTTGAGATCACTAATCTCTACCCAGCGGACACATTTGAGGAGAGTTTGAAGCTCTTCTTCAGCAGTCACATGCATGACAAATACTTGGTTAACACGTACTTTTGTAAGAACTGTGCTATGATGGTGAACGCTAACAGCATTGACATGGGACTAAATATAGAGGAGTACTTCAAGTCGGCGGATCAAGACAGGTATTTGTCAAACTTTCTGGAACAAGCCTCCCAAAGGTGGGATCTAGTGCTGATAACTGAGCACTTTGATCTGTCGTTAGTTCTACTGAAGAGAAAATTCTGCTTGGAGTTTGAGGATATTCTGTACCTAAGATCCCTTGAGAGGATAAAGAAAGATAAAGTTGAGGACCCGTCCCTTCTCGCAAAGATAGCACAGATGCAGAAGCTGGATATAGCGCTGTACGACCACTTCAACGCTACGTTTTGGCGGGAAGTCGAAAAAGAAGAGGGTATATTCGAGGAGCTGGCTATATTTCAAAAGCTGAATAAACAAGTTCAGTCATTTTGTGTTGAAGGTAAGAATTGGTGAACTTCCTTGAAATTTTAAAAGCTTAAAATTCTTACTCGTAATACTTTGGTAATTCTGCAATCTAATCAGAGTGGGCTCACCATTCCAGCCAAGTATATTTACTGTCACGTTTACTTTGTCTCGATATCCCCTAGTACTAATTTGTTAGCTGAGTGATGAAACTGAAACTACTTAATCGTTAATCCTTGCAACTTTGTAAGTCTCCTGCAGATGATCACTAAAATGATTTGTAATATATATAAGTTTAAGTTTTTGTAGTATTACTAGGTCAAGATAGGACGGTGTATGGTTCCATGATAAAGTGAGTCATGTGATCGTTTTAGGAAACTTGTGCCCTTGTATCATGTGATCAATTTTCGCCCTTGTGTCCTTCGCCCTCGTGTCCAACCTTTTAGGAAACTTTCGTCCTTGTGTCCTTTGCCCTTGTGACATCCGCCCTCGTGTCCTTCGCCCTCGTGACTTCCTCGTGAACGGTTCCCGGTCAGGCCTGATTCCCGGCACGAATCGAATTTACTCAGTTTTATCAAAATTTGAGAATAGACTAATTTAGTTAAAACTACAAGCTTTAAAACAAGCTTTTAGTAATTTGTCATTATTAAAGTTCAAAGAATGAAGAGATTCTTATTTTGCAGGTACTAGAGTTGGATATCAGGGAACCTACGCCAATGTTCTCTCCACAAAGGCAAGGGACAACTTCCAGTGTATGGCTATGAACACCAGATGTCTTAATTTCATAAGATTAATAGGTATGAGTAGCAGTGTTTTAGGCCGTATTTATTTCTATATAGGGCTTAGAATCCATAACATTTTTTATTCCTTCCCTTTTTCTAGAGAAAACAGTTTTCAAACGTTCAATTATTGTAGTAATAATATTTTCTTATTTATCTTATAGTAATAAACGAGGCAAAATTATTAAACTTTCTCTTAATATTTCAAAGAAGCAAGAGATGACACCGCGGTGAATGACAACATGAGAACGGAAATTGCGCTGGAGTTCACGGATCCTGACAGTTTGAATCTGAAACAAATCATACATATGGACAGAAAGGAGAACATCATTGACTTAGCTTATAAAAATAAATTTAAATTAAATTAATATTGGCGATTAATTTTTTAATTAGGATTTTTCAAATGCAAATCTTGATCGGTGATTGTACTAACAAATTAGTGTTTTGACTTCTTTTAAGGTTTCTTAAAAGTAATTTAAGGCAACATTGATAATGTTTGATGTTGCGTGATTTGAATCCATATATGGAACATACCTACTGGATCAGCATACTTTTATTAGTTGTTGATCAATGGTATTAATGGGTAATACTAATGAAGCTCATGTTGTGCTCATCTTCACCATTAAGAATCGTTGTGATGCATTATTACCTTATTATTATCATTATTTTATAGTAATTAAACAACCTTCTGCACGTCATTGTTTATTGTTCAGTTAGTAGGGCACCGTCGGATTAAATAATTAGGCTCTTTTAATTATTCTGTCAGATAACAGTTTTAGTATTCAAAAAACTTATGAAACATATAAATGAATATGAGGATGGTTATTAAGTTTAAGAATTTAAAGTCTGGGCTGTAGATGCATTTGAAGATTGGTGTCTTACATGACTGTGCATTGAATTATGTTTTACTGTATGTGAGTGTATGAAGCTTTGGCTTTTTTAAGTTTGTCTGTCTTTCAACAAGGCGTAATTACATGATTTCAAATTGTTCTGTATGTTCTCATCATTTTTAAGTTTTACTGGTAAAGTTAATTATATTCTATATGCTTTACTATGGCTTGATGATGAATTATATGAATTATAGCAAATGTTGAATGTCGAATGTTTTGAAATGTTCTCCTTTTAGATTTTTTAATAAATACAGCGTAACAGATTTCAGTACGTTATTTTTGGTAGTAAGGTAGATATAAAAGGTATGGTACTGGTTATAGTTAAGGGACGTCTAGTTCCACTCTCACTAAACCGCCCTCCCAAATTGAAACAATTTTTGTGAAAATGGAAAAGGCCCTGAGGGTATGAAAGTATTATATTTCTAGATCGGTGTATTATTGGACGCTGATTCCGAATCACCCCGGCCCCTTGACGTCCCAGGAAACGTTACTGGTAGGGGCCTAACTTCGAAAATAAAAGAAATAGAAACGTCTGGTTTTTAACAAAATGTTCGCCTTTTAAAAATAACGTTTCCCCCAGGGGGAAATTTAAAACAACGTAGATTTTGAATTATCGCGAAAAGTCTTATTTTGGGCCTTATAAAAGTGCGCAGCTTTAACTTTGCGGATTCTTGTTCTCTGATTGGCTCAATCGTATCACGTGGTACGTGATGCAATAATTGCATTCTTGGAATAATTGAAGCGTGCAAATGCAATGAACTTACTTGTAGCGCGATGCGTTACTGTGCCGCGCCGCGCACTTAATTAAGCTTCTCGCAACTGGCAACGACGCTAGATCGGCGAGATGCGCTAGATCGGCGAGATGCGCTACTGTGCCGTGCCGAGCTGCGATGAATTGACATCGTCAATTAATGAACTTACGAGCGCGCACGGAGTTCAACAAGCGGTGAAGACGCAATCACCTGTAGTAATATTGCCAGACAGTAAGGTCTGCTGGGGTAGGGTAAACATTTAAATGATTCCCTGGAGAGTTATGGGCAAACAATTATTTTGGTTACGTGACAGGCTGATAAAACACGAATCCGATTGTTTAGGGCTCGGTTTAGGGTTTCACCTAACCATGTGCTTTTGCGCCACTGCGGGCGCGCTTGTTTCACAAGCGCAATTGGGCTCTGGATAGAGCAAGGTTAGGGTTAGGGTTAATTGGGGTAGGGCGTCGCGTGCTTAATCACGTTCCATGCTCGTACTTTGAAATTATACTTTAATTGTTAATATAAAGGGGCTGCGACACGATCATAGTCGAAACCGACACGACAGTCGAAATAAAACCAAATTGGGTCGCGGTCGCTTATTTTTGGACGCTGATTCCGAATCACTCCCCTCGACATATATAATACTTAACGGGTGATACTCGTAAAACATTTGTTTCAAATTTATACAAGACTCATGTCGACGAGTCCAACTCAGCGCGCGTCTTGGTAGGTTATTGTAGCGCGATGCACTACTGGGTCGCGCGCGCATCAAATAATGCTTCTCGCAATCACTTCGGTAGATCGGCGAGATGCACCACTGTGCCTCACCGAGCTGCGAAGGATTGACATCGTGAATCAAGGTAGGTTATAAACATAAACTTATAAAAGGAAACTTTCCGACAAATTTTAGGCATATCCAATCATTAAACATTATATTACCAATTACAGCTGGATGATGATTAATCACTCTACACTCGACTGTCACGTGACTTTTTTAACCCGTTCTCTAGCTGGTTCTGAACGACTTTTCGAAACCCTAACCCTCTAATCTGATCCCAACCCTAACCCTAACCCATTCCTTAACAAAAACATATTCTAAAACCCTAACCCTAACGAGAAATTAGACTAACTTCCTTATACGGTCATATTACGTGATCGATACAGTTTTTCGCCAATATCTCGTCAGGAGAGCATTTTAACCCTATGTCATGGGGGGTGATTCGGAATCAGCGTCCGAAAATACATCGATTGAAGTTGGTTACAATGTACAACCATCGGGGGCCCTTTTAGAACAATCTCGAAGATCGCAATCTAATCGCAATCTAATCGACTGTAAAGTGATTTAGCACGCTCGATTACAGTTCAAAGCAACGTCTTTTGCTCCATTTTCATTACTATGCCAACTTTAATATCCACTAGGTTTTTCGGACCGTTTTGAAAGTCCGATTGGTCTTTCAAAATTATTTCATTCAAGTATTATAAATGACCCGTTTATAGGCTATTAATTTTAGGTCCTGACTTACGTTCGCGTTGAACAATTAAAATGTAAAACAGTTGGATAAAATACAAATAAAAGAAACGTTGACAATTAGTATAATTTTAAGACGATAAAAATGGGAATAAAGAAATCTCCCGTGCTCGAATCGAAGTGCCCTCCTTGCTGAAGTCTGCTTAGACACGTATTGCGATGTTGCTGTGACGTCACGTTGCAGTGCAGATGTGCTGGGATAAGAGTGGTGTCCGGTGTCCAGGCGATGTGTCCTGCTCCTGGTCGTGGACGCGTTGACAGTGTTAGTAATCAGCCACTGAGTTGACGGCTGTATTACTTCGTTGTTAAAGTGCAGATGTTCTATTTCTGTTAATCAATTGAACTGTGGGAGAGCGTGGTTAAACTTAAGGTTAAGAAGTTAAAATTTGTTATACAGAAGGTATAACACAAGGAACCGAAGATATGACAAAATAATACAACGAAAATCAACAATTTTCGTCAAATTACGCGACTTTTACACTTACTGCTTATATTACTGAAGCTCCAAAAGCCGCGCATCATTCCAAAAAGATATAACAAATTTGTCATTGTGAAAAAGCTTTGTCATACGTTGTATGACCCGCGGCGCACGAGTGCGCGGCTCCCCTGTATCGTAGAAACTCTACAGTGAAACGACCGTGAGGTTTGCTCTAACCAAAGCCCTTCCGCTTGCAGTAGCGCGCGACCGCCGTAGGCGGCAAAAGACTTGTGAAACAAGCGCGTCACGCAGTACGCGTATACACATGGCTATGTGAACGTGAGGTCACGACGTGATACAAGTAGTTCCTATATTTGTGATAGGGAATATATTGGGTTGTTTTTTATATAGGGTCATTGTGACATTATGTGTCTGAAGAATTTTTAGTGTAACCGGCCGGGACTTCACTATCGCAGTTGCAAGTTAAAAGTATAATCCTGCCTATTATATTCGAAAAAACGCAGTACATTTTCGTAATTAAAACGGTGTGAAAGTATGAACTCGCTAATTCCAAACATGCCACAATTTTGTAGCGCGATGCACTACTGGGCCGCGCGCGCATACAATAATGCTTCTCGCAACCACAGATCTTATGCAGATCGGCGAGATGCGAAGGATTGACATCGTGAATCAAGCCACAATTTAAGTCTGAGCGCCCCTCACATATCTAATAGTAATACTTAATAGGCAATAAGGCAATCTTAAGTCTGGAGGTCAGAGGTCCCCTGCCAAATTACCTAATTATGTAGCAAATATATTATGAGGGGAGATAAGAAAGAGAGCGAGAGTTGGAGGGTACACACCCACACACACTTTATTATCATATTTGGGTCATAAAATGATCAATTAAACCACTTACCGGATATTATCCTTTGAATCATTATCTTATTGTGAGACTGATAAACAGCAAACCTCTCCAGGATCTCTTAAACCACTTACCACCGTTTTAAAAAACCTTCATCACTTGGCTGCGTCAGAGTTTTCTTGGCACTATACTGAAAAAAACCAGCCCCATAACTCTTATCGTTTTCTTGATTAAACCGCTCGGAAATTTTCCACAGACAGACAGACAATCAGACAGACACACAGACACAGACACACAGACACAGACACACAGACACAGACACACAGACACACAGACACACACACACACACACACACACACACACAGACACACAGACACACACACACACAGACACACACACACAGACACAGCACACACACACACACACACACACACACACACACACACACACACACACACACACACACACACACACACACACACACACACACACACACACACACACACACACACACACACACACACACACACACACACACACACACACACACACACACACACACACACACACACACACACACACACACACACACACACACACACACACACACACACACACACACACACACACACACACACACACACACACACACACACACACATCTTGAGATTATTATTATTGATACTGTTTGAAGAATTTTTATATTGTTGAAAAAAAACTTGTTAATACCTATTGTTCATGTTTTTATTACATTTTTATCCTACAGTAGCTGACTACATACAGCATCGTTCTTTACCGATTTCACTTTTCTTAATACTTGTTGATTGATACTAAGGAATACAAATTTTTTTAAAAGGAATACAAATTTGAATTTTGATCTTTATTACAGATTAAACATATCATATATAACCATAAAAGCCGTGCGTCGGCTGATTGCCTCAACTTGGATTAGTAGTAATTTCAGTTGACAGAAGCTGAAGGACGGCAGCTCAAAAGGCCCAGTGAACCATCGGAAAGATCAAGGACTCGAGTGCCAGTAGTGGCTTTTTCGAACCCATTTTCGCCGATTTGCTGAGGCCCAGATGAGCTGTGCCCTGCTTCTTAACGGCACATGATGGTTTTTGTTTAGATACTTATTTAAATTTAAACGATAATTCAGTTGGTGGTTTACAGTTTTTAAATCATGTTTATCATTTATTTTTCGTTTAATTATTACGGGTTGACAATTCAGTCATACCATGCATAGTCAACATTGTTGAGGCAACCAGCTTCCGCAGTTCAATAATTGGAGACTGAATAAATATAAATTGATCGAAATTTACAATTCTGAATTCATCGTCATAAAATATAGTCAATAATATTCTTGATTCTATTTAGTACATTATAAGTTGGTTTTATTCTCTTGCAACACTACTGCACAACAAAAACTGCGCCTGTCCACCTACTGGAATTATTTCTATTGATCCTCTAAGTATTTACTTGTATGTACCCACATTGTCAATCTGAGCCTTAATACAGGTGTTGTACCAACCCTTTGTAAAAAAGCTAGAGTAACTCCCATCCATAAGGCAGGAATGAAAGATGATCCTAATAATTACAGGCCAATATCCATCCTTCCACTTGTAGGAAAACTTATAGAATACTTTGTCGGCAAGCAACTCACTGATTACATGGAAGAGAACAAACTTTTCATCCGGC